CCGAGACACAAAACAACATGTGTTTTGGAAATAACCTTGGAAGGGCACACTCACACACAAAGTTTGAAAGAAATCTGTTTTTTCAACCAAAATGGTTATGAGGTTCTTACAGAGACAGCCTCTTAAAGTGCTTACTAGCCTGTCATGTTGGAAATACTACCGCTTATGCATGTCATTACATATATAATATGAAATCTAACCTTATGCATTGAACATGAATATTATTTGTGTTTTAGGGAGTCATTCGACAGGATATAGACCCGAGTAAGTTTTAATGAGAAGATAYGCTACATATGTAGATACTGAGGGTACCATACTGGGTATTTACCTTCTAATTTTATTGGTGGATCTCAGATTGAATTGAAATTTAGCTTTTTTTTTGTTGAGGGAGGAAAACCAGAAAACCTGGTCAAAAACYCTCAAGGGAGAGATCAAACGCCTTACCCACTTGTGATATTGAGTTCAGATAATCAAACCTGAGACCCCAAGATGAAAAATGAGTGTACTTCTGCTTTACCTYCCTTGATTAAAAAATAACAGTCATTTTTACTCTGTATGTTTAACAAAACCAAGCTTGAGTTTACTGTGTTGCAACTAAGGGGGCTTTTATTAGAACATGGGRTGGGGGCAGAGGGTTGGCAAAATCACATGTAAAGCCTTATAAACACAACCCAACCCTCCTCTATGGTGGAGGCAACAATTAAACAACCCCTTTTCACAACCCTGTAATAGTTCTCAACTCTCCTATATATGTGATAATTCCCCTTACCGCTTTCTCRAAATAACATAACCCCACGATTTTATGATTTTGCCGAGCCCCCCTTTATGCGCTAATAAATGAAAKCCCCCTAACATCAACAGTAAAACATTCCATTTAAATCTGTCTTGGAATAGATTATTTAACCGCCCTATGACTTTACAAGTTTGATATCAAGTGTTCTTGTCTTTTAGCACCAGCATATGTTCCTAGATCATCAAACCGACCTTTAACYCCACCTCCAACACAAGGGATTATAGAAGCATCTGAAGACTGGGATAGTGGTAAGATATGGCTATGCTCATTGTACTCTAGCTGTTGCATAGATGTTGGGATGTGCAGTTTTGTGGTTGTAGGGATAGTTTGATAGTTTCTCAGGTTTGATGGGTGTATAATAGTAATAATAATGATGATGATGATGATGATGAAGAAAACTTTACTATGTCTCTAAGCTTCTAGCTCAGTACAAGTGCTTTATTAATCATAAGAATGCTAATAGTAGTTATTTATTAGAAGAGTATAATAAAACCATATCAAATATGCAAATAATAATATATGTATGAATATGTATATATGTATGAATGTATTTAAATGCTACATGTCAATACTTAGTTTGCTTGATAAGTTGCTCTTTCCCTTTCCTTAAGGGTTTTCTCCCTCAAAAAAAATCAACATGTGAGGTGACAGTTGCAAAGTTAATACAAACTTATAAAAATAACAAAATACCAATGCTTTTTAGTATGGATAAAAGTGGCACTTATTCAAGGGGAGGCAGCAATTAGGGATGGAGCTTAAATGAGTCATAATATGGTAATGGTAAAATGATGATTTAAAAAATTGAAAACATAACACCTTTTTCTTTTGTCTTCTAGAGCCTGTCAGCGAACATTTTGTTCCCTCAAAGGCAAGTGGTTTTCATAATTCCGAACGGGTGGATAGTTATGCAGTTGTACAGATGTTAAGTGAAGCACAAGAAGAGCTGCATGGATCATTGAGTACTCCTGCTAATGTTAACCTGGCTGAGTAAGTTGATAAGACTGATAATGAATGTAGAAGTTTTGGTCCCGGGGGGGGGGGGGTACTCTTGTCCATTTAGGGATTTAGGGTAGGGATGTGCCGCTGAGCCCACTGAACATTGACCATGTTCCAGAGTAAAATCACTGAAATTCATACCCTGTTCCAGAGCAAGATTGCTGAAAATCACAACCTGTTCCGGTATTGCGAAAATGGATACCCTGTTCTAGAGAGGAGAGAACGTGATTTCATGTACCCTGTCCCAGAGTAAGCGCGATTTTATATACCCTGTTCCAGAGTAGAATCACTGAAAACCATACCCTGTTTGGTGGCACGTACCCGAGTATAGCGAATATAGGGGAGTACCCCCCCCCCCCCAGGGTTTTGGTAATCGGCCATAATAACTATTTAAGACAATGTGCTATTACTGGTTTTTCTGATTTGTTTAAAATGTTTCGGTCTTGATATTGAATCTACCTACAGCTGTAATGTTAACAACTTCCTGGTGCATAGGAATGTGGGATTCATTGGGGTACAAGATATAAAACCTACAGCATTATGCACCCCTAATGTATTCCCAGAGTAACTAGTGGTAATGGTTTGGCTTTCATCTCTGGGTTCCTCTTTGATTCCTTGACTTGAATCARCATGATTCAACAAGATTCAACATTGCCTAAAAATTTTCTCAAAAAACAAACATGCCRGAAACACCTTTCAAATCTCAAAAATGACTTCAATAATTTGAGGAGCATAAAATGTAAATGTAAGTCAAAATAACTGTAGTCACTAAAGGAAACCTGTGATCTCTGTCCTTGGAACAACATTTAAGAAAAGATTTGCAGTGGCGGATCCAGGTGAGGGGTACAGGAGGTGTGCACCCCTCCCTGGTTCGACTTTGTGCCCCTACTTCAAAGATTTAACCAATACATAATTATGTGTTTTTTGATTCTGAGGGGTGCACCCCTGCCTGGGTTAACTATGTGCGCTGCACCCCTACCTGAACAAATTCCTGGATCCCTGATTTGTCTTGTTTATGTTATAGCATGACACCAGCACAGAGAAAGAATTACAAGCGAGCTTTAAAACGACAACAAAAAAGAGCTGAAGGAAATGATGAGGAGGAGGGTCCCCAGATGACAGATCAAGAGAAGATTGATGCCATCGTAAAGAAATACCCATTAATGAGTGGCAAAGAAGAAGGTAAAGCTATATATATATTTTGCTATTCCAAGATGCTTTGTCTGTAGCCGTTGCTAGGTCATTTAAGTCTGTCAAAACATTTACCTTTTAGGGATTGAGGAAGGGACTGGGGCCAAGTGAATTTATTAATTTCATTAAAAAATGATCTTCACCACAAGAAGGTCATGCTAATATTAGTAATACTGCATTACCAAGTTTATTCATCCATCCATCCATCCATCCATTCATTCATTCATTTATTCACAGCCCTTTCTGCGTTTCTGCAACCCAACTGACTCCAGAGATCTGGTGTTTTAACTTCCATCGATCAAATTTGCAATGGCCCAAGTGCATTCCTGTTGTCAACAATAAATATTCCTGAGACTCAACAGTCTATTTCCCATAGGAAAATGGCTGTCAAGTTGCAGTGAATATTTGTATTGCTTGTGATCAGCCTGCTGTAAATTTGATAAGTGTAATTAAGCCAAACACCAGATGTCTGGAGAGGGTTAGGTCAGAAAAACATGAAACAGACTGCAATTTGTGCATTTATTTATTCATATTTTACTTTTTTATTTATTTATTTATTGTTTGTTCATTCATTCCTAATTTTATTGATAGATAATTCATTCTCTTGTTCTTTACACTCTTTTCACTGCTACAGTATGCGCTGATTGAAATCRAGACAACAGTCGTAACAGGGAAATAAGGCAATACACTGCCGCTAATCAGTTAATGTAGAGGTACCGAACAATATTTATTTGACAAAAGTGTATTGCCCAATTTCCCTGGCGCRACTGTTGTTTCTATTAGCATGTAGCAGTGAAAAGAATTGTAATTTCATTCATTCATTTTACTTACTGTACAGCTATTGTATTTCTTTATCTTCAACAGGAGGCTTTGTTGACTTTGTCAGCAGACTCAACATCCACTGCCAACAAAACAAAATCAACCCTCCTACATACAAAGAAGCACCAGGTGTGAGTGGTGGGTTTGGTTACAAGGTTATCATTCAAACAGATGTCTTTTCTACCAATAAATACTGCAAAACCAAGAAAGATGCAAAACAAAATGCAGCCATGGTAGCATTCCTGGGATTAGACATTAAGTTTGGTAAGTTTTTATTATCTGCAATGACCACTGTCGTCATCTGTCATCAACATAGACCCTTTATAGGGGAGTCAAGATTGGTTCTCTCCCTTGCTTTGAGGGTTTTTTAAGGGTTCTCTGGTTTACAAGTTTCTCCCTTTGCAAAAAATCAACCACTGGCTAATAAACTGTGTTACCCCATCATAGAATAAAGACAATTTTGATTTTGAACTTTATTTAATCTGACATCCAGGTGCAGCGCCCAACCCAAATAGGGCTAATGCCAAGCTTACAGCTAAAGAGAAGCAACGAATGAGAGAGACACATGAAAAGCTAATGTTAAGAGAGGCTGGTTACCAACAAGCTGGCCCTGTACGACAACAKCCTCCTGTGATGCAACAGTCTCACCAAGAACTCAACCAAGCTATGGCAGAGGTGTCTATACAAGAGGTTAGTAACTATYCTTCTATAATGACTAGAATGATGTCTTTTATCCAACACCCTTGAAATTACAGCCAATCAGAATGCAGGAATGCAATTGTCTATTTGGAAGTATTCCACTGTTTCTTGCCATTGGCATTGTTTCTTAGGCAATGCATTTTTTTTTTAATATGAGGCAACAAAATAAAAGTCTTGATAAGTTAATAAAAATGTGTGTGCTTGGTGTGTCAGAACACAAGTAGAGAAGTGTTAGAAGAAGCACGATGYATAGCATAGTACTTCTCAACACTTCTCCAGTGTTCTGCTAATCCCCAAGTGCTTTATATAACTACACACTGCACAGCAAGCAAGTTTCTTATTTCTATTTCAAAACACAAATTAGAAATTATTTTGGATACGAATGACAAAGTACTGTAAAAAGTGTGTGCGCATGCTGTGTGAWCTCATAATGCACACACTCAATGCACCAACCAATCAGAATGCGAAATTTATAACGGATATGTTATATAACGGGCCAAACAAATCATTAGAGTATGAAACATGAAACAATGTGTAGTCTATTCACTTTTCACAACTYTTTTCTCTTTCAGTATAATAATAAAAAATAATAAAACATTACTAATGCCATATATTTCTTCTCTTTCATTTAAGAATGAAGATGATGGCTGGACAACTGTACCCTCAAAAACAGGTATATAACATAGTTTTTGTAGAATGATATCTGTAACTTCAATCAAAATTCAAGCTTAGAGTGCCTTCCACAATACTCCAGTTTCGAGTTCACTGTTGCTCAGGGTTAGGCTGGATTTTGTGGAGAATATTCACTTATTCCAGTGAAAGACCATGAAGTTTCAAAGTGTTTGTATTGTTAAAGTTGTGCATTGATTACTTTACCGTTGGTATTTGTGAATATTTAGACACTRATTTGAGGCTAACCCTGAGTAAATGAGTCTGTAATTGAGGAACACAGCGGTAAAGTTGGCAAAATAATAACTTTATTTCAACTGCTAAAATTGGATCAGCTGACTGACTGCAAACAACTGGTATAAAGTCATGGGGCAATTTCTGTATTAGCATATTTTGCCATGCCTCTCTTGCTTGCTGCTTCTGCTGTTCTTTCACTGCCAAACACTGCACTTTGCTATCATGGTGAAGTCTGTTTGCTGTCAAGGAATTATTTTTAAAATAATAGAAATTTGAAGACTAACTTTTTTAAATATTACAAAGGTTTTTCGATTCAGGGTCAATCAATGAATGTAAACTTATATTTTTTGGATTTTTTAATTTTCATCTTGAAACTTTTTTCACAATTTCTTTTCATGTTTTGGTACCATTGACTTAGTAACAATGATAAGCTGAAACTTCCTGATGAATGGCCTTCTGTTTCCTTGCGATTAATTTATCAAATTAATAAAGGTCTTGTTAGATGGAAGCCAAAAACACAGATGTCTGGAAAATATGAAGGTTGCAGAAACCTGAGTGCTCTATAAGATTGTGATAACTTGAACGTTCTTAATCTTTTACCACAGGACATCCACCTAAAAATCCAGTCTTTGATTATTCACTGAAAGTTGCTGGACGTGGAAGGGGTATTGCTCGACGATAATACTGGAAGGAGTTGTATATGACATGTAGGACATGTATATGAGTTGTCGTATACGACATGTATCACTGCCTGTTAGAACATGATGACAGCCCCAACCTTATGTCCTTAATTCAGTAACGTTGTCCTTATACACCTATTTCGAAAATCATTGTCACACCAAGTAACAAGCCAAGGCTCCAGAAAACGTTGGTACTTTTAATTATAATTGATTTATTCATGGTTCATGGAAGTGGCTATAGCTCTCCTSTAATTATCATCTCAGGCAGCCTTGCTTGGAGCAATTTGTGAAGTYGATAAATGTAAATGCACTATGAATAAACTAATTACAGCTAAAAGTACCGGTGTTCTCTGCAGTCTTGGCTAGTTGCTTGAGGCTTTTGGTGTGACAACGAAATAGTTGTTCCTGAAATAGTTGTTCAACGTTGTCCTAAACATTAGGCTCTTTCTGAATCAGCATACTAGGTCATTATATTCTTATGAAGCAATTGCTCATAAAAAGTATTCCATGATATTATTGTATTTTTACTAACCTATTTGTGCTGATAAGGATAGCCTGACAAGCATATAAACTAAAGCTCACCACTTGCTTACATGATAGTGCTGAGACTAGATAATATATATGTTCAAGTTTTAAAATTAAGTATTACATTTAATTAATTTACAGCTATTTTCATGATTCTGTTGATCAAAAAATATGAACACTAACTATTGGAAATTTAATTAATGAAAGCCAAAAACCTAGACTTCTGGAATTATACCTAGTTGTTTGGTTTGCATTGTGTACTTAATATGAAAATGGACTAGTATGAATTTATTATATTCAGTGTTGATTGCTTAGGAAAGGATCAACGATAGTCCAGATCGACAATGATAAAGTCAACATAAATTTGTTATTTTTACATGATTGTAACTTTAAATATTAATAATAATTATTATAAATATATGAATACTGTTTCAGGGATTAAACTCTTTCTTATACTTTACTCTAGTATTCTGTATTAGACCACTATCAATAGTATGTATAGACTACTAACATATCTTAATACATCAGGCAGGGCTTAAAATAATGGCTGATCAGTCACCAGTTATGATCACAGGCCAAATTAGTTTTTGCTTACAGTGTAGTTATACCTTATTTCTGGCTAAACTTTACTAATGTCAAAATAACCGGGAAATCAAAATTTTAACTGGACAAGTCTCAGTTCTGACTGGACATCATCTGATATYGAGGCCATGAATATAATATTATGTGTATTAAGGTTGCCATGGACAAAGCCATATGCAACCATGTAATTACAAGATTTAGACCTACTTCAATCTACAATGTYGTGCACAGCATCATTTTTTTAAGCTTGCACTTAGTTAAGTTCACTACGCTATCCTTCAACAGCTTCTGTGTAAATATTCTTTAGTTTCCTTTATTTATTCCTCTATTTGTTTTAAATATTTCACACMATAGAAAGGTTAACAGTTTAAAAGTTACATTTAGTCTCTACAGATGTTTTACAATTTCCAAGCCCTAGTTGTCATGCATTGCCCAATAAAGAGACCCAAGAAAAAATTAATGTAACTTTAAATGCGATCTTACAACACAACACACAAAAGTATGACCCTAACCCTAAAACCTTAAAACTACTGCCCCAAGGTAGTTTAGTTAAACAACGTTTGAGAATTATTTGGTTAGCCGTGCGCAGTGTGAATGGCCAGTGCTGATCGCACTTGGTTAAACTACATTAGAGCTCTTTGTCATGTCTTCCCCACRCACAACCACATTCCATCGGTATCTGCAGGTAGATGCCATGTATTTCCTGTTGTCTGTACAATAGGGTCATATGACAGATGCATCTATAAATATAAATAACTGCATCAGATCTTTGGTCCATACGGCTTGTTAAAATTCTGTGGTGAGTTTAAAATCACATGAGGGATTTACACACATTTRTGCCCTCGCTTCTGTATGTTAAACCAACACATTTTGATGTGAGGCTGGCTAGTTTAACCAAATAAGGCATGTAAAAGCTTGTTTGGTAGCCAAAATCCTGTGTGGAGAAGTATGCAAATACATTAAATGTGGTCATGGATACTTTTGCTCATTGCACTGTAACTTGGCAAGTGAAAAAAGTCTTAGTGACTCTTTGCATGGTCCAAGTAATTAAGATAATATGCTAATCACCACAGGTATAAATAAATTATTAATTAAACATATAGTTCCAGAGATTATCCATACTCCCCTCCACCCACAGAGGAATTTGAAATTTCCAAGGGGTAGGGGGGTTCATAGAAAGAACAAAATTGCAGAGTTTGTATGGAAAAAAAWTGGGATTTTTTGGGGTGGGGTCTTTAAAAAGATTCCTCCATGGAGAGGGGGGATATGGATAATTTCTGGAACTACACATTTAAAAATTGCAACATACAACATAAATTATGAATTTGGCATATCAATGAAAGTTAAAACTCTTAAATTATCTTTGAAAACAAACCTTAAAATGAACTTTGCTCTCGTCATCTGATCTGGTCAAAAACACCTGATTAGTATGAAGCCATCGAGTTAATAATATCTGAATGCTGATTGGTAGTTTGTGTAGGTGATCTTGAAACATATCATTGGATACCAATAAAGTGTCTATTCCACAATGCATAGCAGCTAACAGCATATAAAGGTCATCTAGAATACTAAGAAAAATAATCACAAGCATATTTTAAACTGCAGATGGAAAATACCCAACTTAAATATTATAAAATTTGTGAATTCCCATCTATTATACCTATTTCAAAAACGATGTCTGTTTAAGATCTGAAAATRATGGGAAATCTGAGACTAAATGGAATTTTTGCTTTTGTGTTTTCTGACTAAGATATGCAAAATACCATTTTCTGACTCAATGGTTGYGCTACATATACCACATACTGTAAAAGGAAAATATGTTTTTTGGSTGTGAATGCATTTGCTACCCTGTCTCTGTTTTCAAATCTCTGGCCGACACATTAAAAAAAAAAATGGTTGTATACATCCAGGATAAAGTTTTAGTATTACACTGATCCAAGTCAATGGRAAGCAACCTCAAATTCGAGATAAGGGAAAGTTTCTTTCGTTCTCACTGGACTATGAAGATGACTTTCTCTCAGGTTATTGAAACCTCAGTCATAACCAACAACAGTCTTTCTCAAGAATAAACTCACCCAGACGATCACAGTTCACAACAAACTTCAACACCTGGGTTCAAAACATTTATTCTTATGTGGGGAAGTTTGAGACAACGAGACTTGTTTGTAGAGTAAAATTTACTTACCATTTTCCCTTGATTAGAAACATGCCACATTCAAAGCCATTATCAGCTGAACTAGTACTGTCCAATAATGTCAAAGGTGGAGCACCAACGACTAGTACTTTCTTGCCGTCATCAAGAAGGTTCTTGATCATCCCTTGCAGCTGTGATATTTAAAAAAAATTCCTAATATAAGATTATCATCTATTATATCAATTTATTTATGATTGTAGCAGTATTTCAAGACTGTGACTAGAAGACCAAAAGAAAGAATGTATAAAAAAGTGTATGAAAAAATATTTATACTGCAGTATTTCTACACTGTGACTAGAGGACCAAATGTACAAAAAAGTGTATGAAATAATATCTCACAAAGTCATAGACTCAGTTACTAACCTTTATAGCATCAAAGTTCCCTTTTCCACAAAAGTATCCAACATTAAGTGCATCTAAGACCACGTCATAAGGTCCTGTCTTAGTGATATATTGATCCAAGCTRTGCGGTAAATTGTCTTTGCTGTCAGGAGAATGCTTATCAATGAAGTTCCCTATCATTGTAAAACACTTGACATGTTGCCCTTCAAGATTTTTCCACAGGAGATGAATAAGATGTTGTTTAAGGATGGAATGCTCATTTTCTGTTAGTTTACCAGAGTCAAGTGTATGGCCACATGACTTGCATTTACCACTGTAATGGAATGAATGATAACAATATATTTATCATTTAATTATGCAAAGAATGTGTATGACACCTTTTGTTACTCAATTAGTGAGTGCACATCCAGAGAGGTTAGTTTACCTTGAGTTTATTGTGGTCCAACTCGTTTGCCATTTCTTACTTGTTTGTCTAGAAAGAATAAACGAAACATTTCCCGTCATTTATTTACCTAATCATAACARTATTTCTTCCTTTTTACCACAAATGTAAATTTTCTTGCTTTCTCAATGGTCAAGAGCTGTGGTAATTATATAAATATGCCTCAGGGGTACATGACATTTTGAATAACTCTTGCTGATATTGTGACAAATAGAAGGATATTCCACACAAAACCGTTGGAAATTTGTTAACTCTATTCTTAGAAAGAAAGAAAAAATAAGACTATGGAAGCTTAGAATAATTATGTTGTCATGCACGCACTCATAGTGCTATTGCTCATTGTCTACTGTCATTCCTTTGAGTAGATCATGCATGATAACTGCACACAAATATGRATGCAATTCAAACGAAGAATCTTATTTTCAAGAATGACACAAGTGGTCTAAAATAGACAAGAAGGCATACACCTAATTGAAAAAAATGTAGTCGGGTTCGAGAAGGTCATATCATCGAAGCTAAGACTGAAAAGGATTTTGGGTACTCTGAAATGTGTATCATATTTGCATAGACATGTAAAAATGCACAGTAGAGCAAAGTCAGTCRACCTAGATCAACAACATGCCAAACCCATGATGCATAAAATGTGCAATACGCATGAAATTAGCGTAATTGTTTGTCTTCCCATGCTCCCCTTTGGTCTTAACTTTGATGATATAACCTTTTTTTGAACCCGACGTTTTTTCAGTTAGGTGTATATAATCCTTTAATTGCATTATGTTACACAGTGCTTCCCCTCAATACTGTATAATTCTTACAAAACCCTCATTGTGATGATTTTGATGTTTTAGTGGCATGTCAATCAAGGCATTTCATAGGCACATGCCCTGATGTACCCTTGAAAACATTGTGCTTTTTGACATTATGTCATTTACATTCATCTAATCTTGTCATTTGTCATGACGGCAAATTGTATGCATAATTTTGGCAGTTTTGAAGAGGAAGCACTATAAAAACAAATACCTCTCACCCTCTGAACCATTCAGCAACAGTCTCTAATGTTTTAATATTCAGTTGTAGTCTATCAGTTTTGACATTCTGTAATATTTCCAATACTCTATCATCCCACATTTCTCTATTCCTACTCTTCACAACTCCACTTATAAGAGCTGGATAGCAGCAAAGGCTTGACAACTTTTCTTCCCTCATTTCTTCATACAATTTAAACGCAATTTCCAGCCTTCCAGCTCTTGCAGCAGAAATAACTATTGGTGTATAATTCCGTRAAGTTCTTCCAACACCAGCTCCTTGCATTTCTCTTAACAACACAACACCCTGGTCTAACAATCCATTTTCTGAAAAATACAGCGTTAGAATATAATAAGTAGCTCCATCTCTCTGAATTTTACACTTGTTCATTTTATGCAAGACATAGTCAACGATGTCGTGGTTTTGCTCCCGAACTGCGTGATACAACAGACAGTTAAACGTCCTTGTTAAGCTTTCATTGRACCAATAATTCTCTAAAAAGCTCTCTAGAAGTTGTCTGGCACTGCTGAGGTCGTTGTTCTCGCATAGTTTTCGTATTTTCCAAAGATATTTCGATTTTTTGATTGCAGACTCTCGGCTTGTCTTCTTTGACTCGCTTGAACTCGTGGTCGCTTCACCTCTACTTTTTACTATCACTCCACATAAATTACGAATAAATAATGAACTCAGATTTAATCTATTRGTTTTAGCCTTGATAAAATAAAATCCTTGAGGGCGATAACGGGATATGAGTCGAATTAAAAAGCCTAGTCTGCAAGAACGATGAAAAGCTCCACCAGCCGCCATCTTTGATAAACACGTAAAACTAGACCTCCACAAGTATGACTTGGGCTACCTATGGTCTTATCAGTCAGTCTACCCCCACCGAGTAGGGATAAGTTCAAGCTAGCAATGTTCTAAATAATAAGATGAAATTAAAAGCTTTTCATTCAACGTTTCTTCTAATAAGGATCCTTCTTGTCTACATACAAAGAACATGGATTTGTACAACCTGGTCGCGAGAGTACAAGCGTTACTATGGCTTGTACACAGTCATCCCAAGCCCTCCCCCCACAGCTAACTATTCATATGAATTAGAGCACCCTTCGATTATAATAGCATCTACTGCTATTTTCACAAACATGCGAATTCGCTAGTTGCAAGCTGCACGCTGAAATTTTGTACAAAGGTACTAAGATAGCTTCATATTCAACCTAGGACCCAGAGCCCACGTTTCTCTTGGTCGACAACGAGAATMGTTTACCCCTCCCCCTATTAGTAGCGATGTGTACATATTGTATGGTGTATTGTGAGTCCTATAAGTAACGCAAATCAATATACCACCTGCCTATGGCTACATAAAGATAATAGCTCTATGAATATTAAAATACTTGGCAAATTCATTATAGAAGCCAGAGTGGCCAACCCGTGACTTGCTAAAGTAAATAATGTCAAAAAATACAAAAAAACCTATTGGACCAAAACATCCAAAAAATGGGCTCGCGATGTTATTTATTTTGGGGTTGTGAAATTATTTTGGATTCGTAATAAATATGTTGGATTTTTCTTACCTAATTCTTTTCTCRCCCACACCTAACGCGAGGAAAGCTTAGGAAAGTACGTGGTTAGATACCACAAATTTGAATATATTTTGATGAGTTTATAAAAAGGAAGTTTCAAATTCCAAATATTGCTTTATAATCCCTCGCAAAAGAGCTTAAAATATAGTGATAGAGATAAAAATAAGCCTCCTATCGGCTAATAGATCGTGATATAGACTTCTCAGGYTACCGTTCGTGTTGTGAGTAACAGAAAAGGAGAGGTGGATAAAAATAGACTCTACGTCAGGTAATGAAATATTCATAATCTTTGTCTTTCAATAGGCTAAGCTTCAGCATTGTGACTACAGTCCAAGCTAAATAAGTCGGGTGATCTAACAGCTTTACTATTCTTCAAGTAAAAATAGAAAATCGAAGACAACAATTTTGGAAATCCGTTCAAGAAAGCGCTGTTCATTTGGTTGGGGAAATTATACAACAGGCGAAATTTCGTGAGAAATTGTGGATTGTTCAACAAAACAAGTGTAGCTCCGAACGACTGACTGACGCTTATGAATATTGAAGCGAGCAACATACCTTAAGGAGAAAAATATATATAAAATAGCAAATGGGTTTCGAGATGGATTCGGGGATTATCAAGCGATGGAAAACGCTGGAAAGTCTTTCGGTTGAAGATTATTTTGATGATATTACTCAAATTCGACGCTGGAGTTCGTCAGGAAAATTGAATAGTGAACGAGCGACGAATGTTGGCACGAAAAGAAATAAGGCTTCTCAGCTTCCTGGAGTTACGTGTAGTGTGTGCAACCAGAGATACAACCGACCTAAACTTTTACCGTGTCTTCATAGCTTTTGTCAGAGTTGTATTGATAGTTTGGTGAAATTGTCAGAGGGAGAAAATAGGCTAGAAATCGCTTGTCCAACTTGTTCAACGCAAAATGATATCCCAAAACTCGTTGAAAACCTGCCAACGAATTTTATACTTCTTCAAACGCTAGCGGAGATGGATGCGCTGGAAGAAAAAGAAAAGCCGATTGTGATTTGTGCGAATTGTGATGATGCGTCGCATGCAACTGGAGTATGCGTTCAATGTGCTGAGTTTCTGTGCGAGAAATGTACGAGCGCTCATCGTCGAGTCAGGCTCACTCGAGATCATTGTATAACGTTATTGGCAAGCCAAAGCAGGCCAATTCCTACAGAAGAACAAAGAAATAACACGTTCCAGGACTTGACCAAATGTAAAAACCATCAGCAAGAGGAATTAGCATATTTTTGCAATACATGTCGCAGGTTCATTTGCCGTGAATGTACGGTTCAAGAGCACGACAAAGTATCGCATGACTTCGAACCGCTGAAGGAAACGAGCGAGACTCGCAAGGAAACGATGGCTGCGCTTCTCGGCGAGGCTCGAGTTCGACTTCCCTTCATGCGCAGGACACTGCTAGAGATTGAACACGCAGCACGCGATATCCCGAGACACGTGGATGCTATAGCAGAAGAAATCCAGAGCTCAACGCTACGTTACGTGCGTGCGCTTCGTGAGCGTGAGTTTCAACTACTCGATGATCTTGACGCATTACGTGAGTACAAGACTACTCTATTGAGCGAGCAAAAAGAACGATTAATGCGTAGAGTGGAGAGTCTAGAAAGTGCGTGCACATTCACTCAGCGCTTGCTCAACGAGGACGACTCACTGCACGTTACTGTAGCAAGTGATTATGCAGTTGAACGACTAAGTCAACTCAACTCCGATGGCATTGAAATTCAACCAGTAGAAGGGCCTGAGATCGAATACGTCGCGCAAGAGGATATGCTGTTCGAAATCATAAACACCGCTGGCAGCGTCGAGAATGGAGCGACATTCTTTAAAGTTCGTATTCTAGGAGAGGGGTTGTTCGAAGCTGCAGTCGGCAAGGCTTCTACATTCACTCTTGCAATGAATGATGAGGTATCGTTGCAGGATTTGGATATCCGCATCGAAACGCCTGATGGAGTTCTGCTATCGTGCGATATAAACCAGCTTAGCGATGGAATAGCCCGCGTCAGCTATACACCCAAGATACACGGCGAACACGAGATCTCAATCCAAGCGCAAGGAGATCACGTGGAGGGAAGCCCTTACGCCGTCCACGTCAAAAAAGGCCATATGAGCTACGGTAGTAAGAATACTCCGGTATGTCTACGGTTTGGAAACAAGGGCACAGGACTCGGAGAAACCGATGGCCCTACTGACGTAACAGTGCGTAGTAATGGATCAATCGTTGTAGCCGACACTGGTAACCATAGGATACAGCTCTTTGATGGCAGGGGCGGAATACTTCACGAATTTGGTAGCCATGGAAACGAACCGGGAAAATTCCAGTCGCCCGCGGGCATTTGCGTGGATCAGAGAGGAAACATTGTCGTTTCTGATCAAATGAACAACAGAGTGCAAATATTCAATGTAGACGGTGTCTTGTTAAAGCACTTTGGACCTAAGTGTGACAAAGGAGGAGAGCTCAAAGGGCCATTAGGAGTAACAGTTGATGAAGAAGGACAGATTCTTGTCGCAGACCAATCAAACCACAGAGTTGCTATTTTCAACGAAAGAGGATCTTTCTTACAAGAGTTCGGTTGCCTAGGAACCAGGAATGGGGAATTCAACACTCCCTCTTTTATAGCCGTCAACCAAGATGGCGAAATCTATGTCACGGATACCTGTAATCACCGAGTCCAGATATTCGACATGAGCGGGAAATACATCGGGAAATTCGGAAGGCCTGGGACTGGGAACGGAGAGTTCCAGTACCCAAAAGGCATTGCGATCGACGCTTCCGGTTACGTCTTCATATCAGATCGGACCAATCGCGTCCAGGTGTTTAACCACCACTTCCGGTACGTGTGTAAGTTTGGCGGGAAACAGAGTGGTGATGGACAACTGAACTCACCCTCGGGGATTGATTATACACCCGAGGGTCGGGTAGCCGTGGCTGATACCTCTAATAACTGTGTCAAAGTATTTTATTTTCCCAAAGACCAGTCTTTGTAAAAATACTAATATATTCTATGGAATGTCTGTGATTAGGGGCTCTATAAGGGGCACGGTCATGACTGGTCCAAAATAGGGGATCGACTTTATTGATTATCGTGGTAGGCTGTTGAAATTCTCGATGTTTTAATTGGGTATCCATATAAAGTGTTTATTCCTATACACAAATTTATTGTTAAGTACACATGTAATCAGACTACATTCATTCTGCGACTTGCCACTTAATTTTGGAGATATTTGAGGGCAAATTATAACATTTTACTTTCAAGGGGTGGTGAATACCGGCTAACAAGTCACCCCTCCCCTACAAATCGCAGGTCTCGGTTATCTTGACCTTGCTCTTAATTAAACAGATATAAACACATTAGCAAGAGTCGTGCAACGTCTAATGTGTTTATATCACCGCATATAGCCATTAGACGCCGTTTTATATTGTTCTTTCATAAAAGATTTTACGTCGAGATTGAAAAGCGCTGACATGTTTTAATGTAGTCTATGTCTCCTAATGTATAGGTGGGCGGACAATCAGTCAGTTTGTTGTGATTGATTATTCGATTTAAACTAAACAAAAAGCAAACGAGGCTAATATAGAATAGATAACGATGTTTATAAGTTCTGCGCACACGCGTTTTCAACCAACCAATTGGAGCGCGCGCGTAATTATAAATTATAAATATTTTATAAATCATTCTCAAACCACAAATATTAGCGTACACTCAGTGCGGTAATTTATGTATCATTCAAGAAGCTATTTTTTYAACCACATACGACGAACATATAGACTAGGAATTGGGAAATATTTTTTTTTCTCATTTCAGACTATGTGTCATAAAATACTACACAATTTGGTTCTTGTTTACAAGAATTACAGCTTAATTTTCAACTAAGATAAACAACAATCTGGTTGAGAAAAACCTTTGCGGGAAGGATATAAACATGAGGTCGCATTTCGATTGGTTGTTGTAAGTTATCATAGTTTTGTGTGGTGAGCTTAGCAAGGCAAAGCGAAATAAAAATAACTCTTGCCTTTTGTATATCAAAGGGCTTTTATGTGCGGTATTTATAGCCGACGCATATGCATATTGACTGCGCGCTTGCGTCGGCCAATATGTGTTATTTAGTTTTAAATGCTCGAATATTCTTGTACCCAATGTTATCATACTTTCTATTAATCTATCTTATAATTTTTGGCATTTCCTAGCTTATTCGTCGTTCGTTCGCAAGCAAACCTTTGCTTTGTTTTRCGTGAAAGCGCAGTTAATAATCACCCCTTACATTGCTGCCTTGTGTTATTCCAAGGTAACAATTTTATACTCACGGGGGTGGGGAGAGGACAACCTGGGGTCAATTCAATGTTTTATTATATAATAACCACTTCTGATGAAGATTTGCTTTACTATTAATATTAATACAACAAAATTATGAAACTAAAAAAGGTTGTCAAATTGATAATTTTCTATATACAATATTGTATATAAACATACTCTATAAAAATATAGCAAGTATATATATGATTTCTTAGTAGGATTAAATAGTAAAATGGAATTTCTTTAATGAATAGGAGAATAAAACTAAAAGATTTATTTATTGCGATAAATCTAAACTGAAAATGTATAAGCAACGCGCATCAATATTTTTGTCGCAGGTAAAAGACTGTTCCCCCCAAAGAACCAGATTCTGGGAGGGGACGGGATGGAGTATAAAGAGTGAATTCCCTTTGACCATTCAGTAGCAGAGATTAGATTTCATATCCTTCAGGCTTTGTTAGAGACCGATATTTACTGCTGTTCAATTTGAAGACTAACATTTCATTTACATATCCATAGAAGGGAATTAACGGGAAATATCAGAAATGGGCAAACTGGTGTTAGCACATTAGATAAAAAGAACAGGTAGCCAGAGATGTACAATACCTACTCTTTTGTCCCGCAAGAAGAAAATCGAAGTTGCACAAGCGATGTGCACGTGATGCGCAAGTAACACGCAAGTCATACGAAATCGCTGATGCGTACGCAATGATGCCCAAGTCACGCGGAAGCAAAAAGAATAGAAGCTGACGCGAGCATTACTGCGTAACCTGTTTCAATTCGTTTTAAAACAAGGTGTTTGAAATTGCGTAATGAATAAAAACTTTGTAGAAAATAATGCGCATCATTGCGCAGATAAACTATCAGGCAGTCGAATCCCCTACCGGGTGTTTTAATTCCTTAAAAGTAACCTTCGGGTTTGGTACAACTTTATCGAGTTTCTTCTGAAGCATCCCTGGGGTAATCTGCCATCGAATCAAACAAAGAACCTTACATGCCAAAGCTAGCTCCTCGCTCTGCATTCCTTGAAACGATCCACTTATGTTGAGTATGCGAGTACCGTGCTTTATGTTCTTACTCGAAAGACTGACAAACACCGTATGTTCCCCTGGGGTCTTGGGGCAATAGAATACCGTATAGGTACCGTCTTTATTATCTAGTACATGCGCACTAATCACACTATCATTAGGTGTTTCTAACTTTACTTGAACTTCCTTTCGCTTGCTCTTATGATCCATGGTAGTTACTGTGAAAGTCGCAGCATTCCTAGCCGCAGTAACGGCTTTCGCACCTTTCTTTCCTATCACTGGTGGCAAGCTGAAACGTCTTTTATTTTTCTTCTCTTTTGTAGCTTCCCTTTCTTCTAGGATATTAAGCACAGGTTCACTAACGGAGGCTTTAACACTAGCTGAGCTCGAACCCTCGCCCTCTTGCGCAGACTCAGGTTTGCTTTTGTCCGAGCCAGCGGTATTATTATTAGAAGATGATGTCATGGTATTTTTAGCAGGTGGCGCGAATTCTACTTGTAAACTACCAAACGCGTCTTTAATGGCGCGAACCACAGGTTCCTCCTTCGCCTCAAATGTTATTCTCATTTTTTCTGGTTTCACCTCGGGTTTTTCAACTCGCAGGTTCTCAAGTCTTCCACTAATGATTTTCTTAAACGTTAGTAYCTCGTTCTGACGATCCTGTCTTAAAATATCGTCCGCAAAGTCACATCCATCAATTGTCTGAACAAGTTTTCTTTCCATGATTTCTTTCTCTCCTATCAATACGTCGCAACGTCTTTCTTGAACTTCATKAAGTTCTTTTATCAATTGGTGTTCTCTGTCTTTTATCGCTTGGATAAGATGGCGTGACGTTTGGCGTATCTGCCAAGTAATTTCTTCCACTCTGTTTTGCACGCGTCCATAAGTTTTTATAATCTCGTAAACAGCTTTTTGCAGMTCGGGAATTCGCTCCCGAGTCTTATTTAATGATTCCCCTATAGAAGATTTGGATGAATCAAATACGTCCCCCATTGTAGAATGTTTATGTATGCTTCCATCTGAATGAATACTGCGTTGGCATTCTTTACAAATAGTAACATCACAAGTCACGCAGAATCTATCGAGCACTTCATTGCTATGTATTTGACAATTAAGACCCGTGGTTTCTTTTTTCAGCTTGAGCTCTCGTTCCAAAATCTCTTGGAACGAAAGTATTTCATGGTCTTTGGTAAATTTGACTCTTCGGTGAGCTTGGATGCAGTCATCGCATAGAAACTCTTCACATTCCGTGCACCGGGACTGCGCATTCTTAGGTCGACCCTCGCAGCCTCCACAAGGCTCATTCCTCTTTGAAGATTTCTTCTTCTCCAGCTCTTCCACCCTCCTCTGCGCCAATGAATTTGGTAACAGTGATTCAAAGTCACCCTCAACATCTGTCAAACAAACTGGACAAGTCAGCCTCCCTTGCTGGGACTTTCGAATATCCTCCACGCACTTTTTACAGAATGAATGTAAACAGGGTAAAAGTAGAGGGCTTCTGTAAATGCCATTACAATATCTACACCAAACTTCTTCAGGAATTTCTTCGTGAAGATTAATCAACTTGCCCACGTCGGTCGCCATTTTGGGTCTGAATTCTTAGCCGGCTCCCAATGTACCCGTCAGAGCGAGATTTGAAGCTCTCATTGGACACAAAAGCCAGTATTTTTGATGATGGAAGTAAGAAGCCAAGTTAATAATAGAAACGCTTTTTATCTGTTTGGTTTTTGTTGATAATAAGCCAGCTCCTCCCTATGACATACATTCCCTTTACAAAACGTCCTCGTGAAATAGCAACTCAAAGCTTTCAATTTTCCTTGAAAGAAATCCTTTTCCTATGAATGTGGATAGTTTGGTTGTCCTGATTCTTAATTCATCAGAATTCTGGCAGTACTTTTCGTGTGGTTCCTAAGCTCTCGCGGACTCTCGTATGAATTATGCAACGTGTTTATACTTGGCCGACAGGTACGCAATGACTAGAAGAGTAACCACTTACACTTAGAAAATTAAAGCAAAATGCGCTGATATTGATTGATATTATCAAATTCTCTCGTAGAAATTGGCCATTAATTATACATTATAAAAATGGCTATTTTTTCACACCATAAACCAATTAACGTTATTTTCAGCAAATTGATGTGAGCTAATAATCTTTGGATTCCTTCTTCAGATTCGCTGAAGTTGTCTTTGATTACGAAGACTTTATAGAAATATTATAAAACATTTCTAGGCAAATGTCTTTGAAAATTGTCCGGAAGAAACTGTTCTCAAGGAATTGTGGGAAACAAATACTTCAAAAGACTAAGACTCTTTTACAGTCTCCGCTCTGCCATAAAAATAGTGCCCAGCCTCTATCGGTGGCTTGTATTGCGAGGGACTGATTATTATTCTTTTGAAAAAGAATAACACGCGAATTTTTTTTACGAACAAAGACTCTTTCCCGTTGATTATCTTCTTGTAGAGCATTTTAACAAGAATATGGCCCGACTACAAGCTAGAGATGAAAGAAACTTCACTGGCTCGCTTCCTGATCTCAAAGCCTCAYTAAAAGCTACAGAACAACAAACAAAGGTAGTGGATCAGAATATTACGACCGTTGAGACTCACTTTCCCAAACTCTCCACTGTTTTACAGCGATATGCAGTTGGAACGGCGAAACTGCGCGACAAAGGCGACGCGTTGCATAAAGCAGTGGCTACGTATGCAGAAAACGAGTCCCAATCGATGAAAGAAGGACTTAACATCTTCGCGGATTGTCTAGCTGCTGTTCAAGATTACAGAGACGCTCACGTTCATCGCCTCGAGGATCAACTCGTGGAAGGGCTGGTAGTTTACGAAACTAAGTGCAAACAAGCTCGAAATGATGTCAAGAACAGCTCCTCTCTTTGTACTAAGGAAGTAAAGAGTTTCAATACTTTGGAGAAGGCACAAACTCAATCGGGTAATAGAAGCCGCATCTCTAAAGCCCAAGCAGAATTTCAAAAAGCCTCCGGTGAGGCAAATCGATCTCTACAAATTCTTCGGCAGCAAATGAATGAATTTGAGGTTCAAAAAATGCGCGATGTTAAGAAGATTTTCAGTGAATTCGTTCGTGGGGAAATGGAATTCTGTGCACGTGCTTTAGAGGTATACACCAGGGCCTACCAAGCCATACATAACATCGATGAAAACCAAGATCTCGATCGGTTTAATCAATCATTGCTTGTCAAACCACCGACTTGGGGCTCGGCTCCTGCTCTTTCGTCTGTTGGTCGGTATAACAGTACACCGTCGCTAGAGAATGTTATAGAAGAAGAAGATGATCTAAACAGAACATTATGAGGAAGTTAACTATCGTTTATCAACTACAAACTCGCCCAGAAAGAGATCTACAAGAGTACTTTTAATCCGTAAAAGATTTTATATTACAACCACGCTAAAAATATATAATTAGTATAATACATAGTAAAGAGAAAATTCATCAACTTGGCGAACTGTATAATTTCTAGCCTAGTAAAAAAAACTATATAAAATGAAATCATCATTGACTACAGGATTGATGCGTTGGAAAGATTTTAACACGAATTCAACAGAATATTTATTGAGATGAATAAATTTTATCTTTATGTAAATATTAGCAAAGTGTCACCTAGATACCAAAGTGCATTTATTACCAAAATTTAAAAGAAATTTTTTTTTTATAGCCTAAGAAATTATATAGAATAAAATGCGTTGGTACTTGATTATGATTTCCCTAGATGGAATGTAGAATTAATGTTTGTTTGTTTGTTTTTTTTTTTTTTGTTTCATTATTCGTTTAGAGCCTAAATCGATTGTCTGTTAAGATAAGCATACTTGTTTTGGCAACAGGTCATGCGGTTTTTTTTTTTTTTTTTTTGTTTCATTATTCGTTTAGAGCCTAAATCGATTGTCTGTTAAGATAAGCATACTTGTTTTGGCAACAGGTCATGCGGTACGTTACCTCACGCAACGCTCAACTAACGCACAAAGCCGGTTGAAAGATTTTTTTTACTTAAAAAAAAAAAGAAAGAAAGAAAAAAGAAAAATAAATAAATAAATAAAAGGAAAAATGAAGGGAAGTTCTCCTTATGAGAGGAATTGGATGGTAGATTTAACTCTTTGCGTATATAAATAACATTTTGCGTATCTGGAACGGTCTGCATGCTGTCTTCCCTAAAAAACGCTTTTTTTCAGAACTGCGTCGTTAGGCACTATTGCAACGATGAGGCCTCCTTCAATGTTTGATGGAAATGAAAGTCCTGAGTATAAACACTTTTGAGAGCATAAAGTTTCGATGGGTTTCCTAGCCTATTGGCGCTAAAGACCAAAAAAGGGTCCGGCATGGCTATCCTTGGGGAGAGATAGAGAGGTCTAGAGAGATGCCTGCGGAGGAGGATAGGTCCGGCAAAGTGTTTCTGCTGTCATCTTGTGACGTCCTGAATATTGCCAAAACTGGTAATGAACTGGACTGAAGACGTTCCCTTTCTAATACGTTCTACGAACTTGTCTTCAGTGGCGATTGACATTCAGTTTTCCATTCCTTGAGGCGAACTATTCCTATTAGCCGACAACATCGCATCCAGGGGTTAGTGATGGTATTCCTTACCAGTGGCATACCGCGTGTGGTCTTGACCACTTACTAATTTTGCCGCCATTACGCCCTTGTTCCTGACTGATAAACAAAATTWAAATTTTTTGGACTTCTCTGAAGGCGCGAATAAACAGGGCAATTTTCTATGTAACTTGCAACGGAGACGCAATCGTTTCCAAAAGTAGAAACGATTAATTCAGTGCTGCAACTTGTCTCACAACATTTTTTTTTTCAAATTGTGCTGTAGTTTAAACGCTGCAATACTCCATGCATTTTGTGTCGTAACGCCGTTGCAAGACAAATTTCTAATTGTAATTGCGCCTTGAAGACGTTCTCACAAATCGACCTCCTCTCAGTCACGTGTCCGCGATTCAACACAGTGGCTATAGATCAGTATAATTTAGAATAGCCCCTTTCACAGCTCTTTCCACAGGTTAAACACTTTGGAAAGCTCACCATTCATCTCGCCTCGAAGCAAAGGCACGGCTACTTTTCAACTAGATGGCACCAGGAAAGGTGAACGTCGTAAAGGGGACTTACCATTGTATTTTTTCCTCCATCTGGTTTTCTAGTGACCTTTTTGCGCAACTGATATTTTCACGTTATCCAAAAGAACAGTTCTTTAACGTTTGAAAATAGAAAAACCGTAACTTTGACATATTGTTTGATGTGTGTTCCCTTATTAGAGATAAGGAAAATGTGTTGAAATCTCGGCAAATAAGCTTCGGATCGAGCTCCAACTTTATAAGGTCACTAACTAAAACACATTGAACGACATGTCAAAATTTTGTCAAAATTTATATAAAATAAACCTTACTTTTATATTTTAGCAGATATACATTTACAGTAAATTGTTAGCCCGCGTTGCATCCGGAATTTTCTTCGTACTTTACGAAAAAAGTCCCTGATGCAACGCAGGCTGTAAATTGTACACACAGGAACATTGCTTGGGCTGCCTGTGGCATATACTACAAACATTTATTTTCTTAATAGCGTGAGTTCTTCATTGAAAGGGCGTTAGAACGTGATGCACAGATTCCAGCAATTGAATAATGTTTTGAATATTCGTTTACGTTTACGATTCAAATAATCATATAATTAAATGAATATATAATGAACTCTTGAGGAGCACGCTTGACCTGGTTTGACTGTAAGGCCGGGGGGATGCAAGACGTCCAACATGCTTGCTTTGAACAAAAGCAATTTCCATTTCGTACGATCTTCGTTGTCAACTAATATTTTAGCTTGCACGAACTTCACAAATAATGTTAAAGCAAAAAGGTTTACTATTACAATTTGTTTTTCACCCCATTTAACTATTCACTTGTGAGACTCTGGCCCACGCTTAATTCCTAAGCACGTGTGTCTCTAGACAAAACAATCCCTAATAATAAAAGTAGATCACACGGGTGAATTCGAAGCTTTTTTCTGTAAGGGTTACCTGTGCTTTATCTCCATAACTAGCACAAACCTGTTTGGCAACCTTGGCAACCTTTTTACGTAACAAACAGTAATAAATACCTCCCTCATCTCCTTAGCCGCCCACCACGTCTTCTATATAACTAGTTTACTCCTGTTTGGTAAGTCCTGTCTATACCTGAACATTCAGACAACATGTCAAATATTTGCTTCAAAAAGGGCGACCTGGTCTGCAGGAATAATCTAGTTGAACAGACGGTTTGGGGAAAGGATGTCCAACATTAAGGTCGTTACCACTGGTAGCCTCATCAAAAAGGACCTTAAAGATGCTTATTATTTGCCGTATTGGCCCTCCTCGCACTTACCAGGGTATAAATTTAACAACGACAAGAAATATCGTGTGTTTGACTGCCCTCCGCCTTCCGAAGCCTTCATGCACTTTATTTTTCCCTTCCGTAACGTCCCTACGGCGGGAGATGAGGTGCCCATATTGTTGGACCAACAGCCTCCGTCGTTTTTGAGACATCATTGGAAGAAATGGCTTCCTGATTTCCCTACTGCAGATATCAAAACCATCGACGAGGGGCTTCAAGATCATGTACCGATCGTAACCACCGGATCAATGCAAGTTATTCCAGATAACAAACATAGCGTTGACCCAGATGTCCTCTATAGAGTACAGTTGAAGAGCAGTATCCCCGAGGTTGGTGTGACGTGCCCGAAACACTTTATGAACGTGAATGCAGTCTCTTTCCCCTGTTTGGTCAAAGTAGATATGAGCTGGTCTGGACGCGGGAATCAACTTGCCAAGTACAGTATTTGTATATCAAATCCAATAGATGCTGAACTCCCCAAGTTCTTTTCTTACCCTCCATCCATCAAGGTCCCCGAACTATTCATTGCTGTCGAAAACATTGCTTCGGTGAAAGGCGGCATAGATGCAAAGTGTGTCGCTGAAATATAGTTGCAAATCACCTCACAAATGCAGCGGCTAGTAGACTGCTCACAAATTTACGAAAAAAGATAGCGGATGAAGTCTTCTCTCACCTTTATTCTGAAGAGCAGGACACCAATTTAAATACTGATGCCCATATTGAAAGTTGGTTTACATGACAGTGAGGACGATGTCAATGATGATACTGATGAAAATGAATACAGCGATGGTGACGATGGTGCTGGCACTGATGAAGGTGGCGAGAGTGAGGAGGAAGACTTTTAATGGACTGCTGATGTAGCTATATCACCGCTTTCATTATTAATATATATTATAGACATTTATTTTTACACATTCATAGCACATTGTTCCTGTTTTAATTTCTATATCGACTGAAATAAAGATTTATTAAGGAAAAGAATGTTAATAAAAAGCGTAGCCCCCCTCTCAATGCCTCACGTTTGCTCCCCCCTCATTTTGGGCAATTTTTTTTCCGGTGGCACCCCCCTCAAAACCACCAGCCCCCGCCCCCCTCCCGGTAAAAAATGAACGGTCCCTAACGCAATAATATCTTTGCGGCATTTATTTGAATTACCATCGGAATTTAGGAATGATCGATAAATGAGGAAATTGGTCGAAAAACCTCGTTCACAAAACATGTGAGATATCTCGTGTCACATATGATTTAGTCTACGCCGCAGCCCATTCTCGTTATCTCGTACCCAGAGCTTCCTCATCAAAAATCGGCAATATTCGGCTAATGAGTAGGGTTTAGAAATGAGAATACTCCGCAGAGGTCCCACAGCCGTCATATATAAGGTTCGGTCCCAGATCCTCTTCAGTGGAGAAACTTATGTCGGCTGCGGAGCTCAGACTATTGAGTCCGTGTAAGAATTCAAATATAAATCGCGTACGTAAGTACATGACTATTGACTTATCACATTCAACATAACATTCATGGTTTAAAAAGTTATCCTTCAGTTGCCTTTTTTTTATTGAGAGTTGACTTAGTTATGCGCAACACGCATTCATCATTGAACGCCTTGTCCTCTAAAGACTCTCTCTCCTGGCCATAACCATCCCTCGACACCACCGTTCTCTCTGTTGTATCCCTCGTCTTGTTATCATGTGTCACTCCAGGCGTCATTCCATCATACCCATGTCGCTCTCCAGGCCTTCCTAATGCATTACTTCGCACCAAATACAACAATCCCTGACCATAACCATTCAAATAGCCTTTCAAGTAATCCCCTCTGGTTTTCACATTAGGGTGCTCATGTAAAAGATGCTCCAGGACGCCCTTCATGTATCCTAACTCATACCCCATGTAGTAACCATTGGTTACAGTCCAGTGGAGGTCCCGGATGATAGCCTCGATTTCAAGCAGCGAAGATTGAACCAATTCATCTTCTGGTGATGTCATCTTTTGCTCAATGCCGTTTGATTTATGCAAATATTTCTAGAACACTTAAAATAAAAGGATATTGTAGGTGTTTAAAAGAGAGGTTAATTTGCCCCCTTTGTTAATCCGAGGATATTATTCAAACGCAATCCAAGCCTCAAATGCCATTTAAATTGACAGATATAATAAAACTCTACAATTTCGCTTGATTACATTTTATATCCTATACATTGGACTTGATAATTATTCGTTAAATAATTTCGCAGTTGTATCCAATAAGGATGATATTGTCTTTCATCGTATAGTCACCAATAAGGCCCCCTTTTACGAATTCGTATTGATTCGCCTCTGTTTAGAAATGTTCAGAAGACCACTACTGCTATTAATAGCCTAGCCCATTGTAAGCACTATATCCGGACCTCTTTCTATCTGTGCTTCCTGTCAAGAGCGTTCAGTGAAATTTACCGGAGGGATTTGAAACAAGGGCGCCGTTAGGATATAAAAGAAAACTATGTAATGCCTTTTTCCGGGGAACCACTTACCAACTTAGTCACAATTGGGTTTGATGAGGCCTTTGATTACTTGCAGTTTGTCTTGATACCGTCAAACCTCTGGAAAAACGTTTAAAAAAGGGAAAAAATGCTGTACTGCATCGTTCGGCGTGTTGAAAATGCTATGAAACAATGAGAAAAATGGAAGTTTGTCCAAACAAGTGGTTGCCTGGTGACGATAGTTTGTGGTTAGAGACGTACCTTTCTTGTGGTTTGTTAGTCGTCTTTCTCGAACCATGTGTTACGAAACAGATGGCCAAAGAAGGCTTTAAATTTTAACGCTATCCTGCATAAAAAAAACTCTGGACTGATCAAAGCTAGGGCACGGGTAACTCACAAATCAAATCCTGAAACAACCTCTGGACTGATCAAAGTCAGCGCGGATTGACTGATTAAGCTCACAGAAAGCGAGCACTGAAACAACCTCTGGGCTTATCAAAGTCAGCGCGGCTTGGCTACCCTTAGCCTGCAAAGCAGGTGTTCTTTTGGATTCGGGATAAAACTGGGATTTTGGGGAAACTTTGGAAATTTGGAACGAGCGAGAACGTAGTTGAATCAGGAACCCCAAAACCCCGATTCTTTCACAAACCCACAAGAACAGCTGGTCTGCAGACTGGGCTACCCTGAAACAATTTCTAGGCTAATCAAAGTCAGGGCACGGCTAACTTACAGATCGAAACCTACAAATTATGGGCTGATCTAAGTCTGGGCATGGCTAACTCATACAGATGGAATTGGAATTAGTGTGTTGAATTATGCTAGAAGGAGGAATATAAACAGTACCCCGTTGTTTTGGGACAAATTGTGTCCCATAAGTTAACAATAAGAGATGTATGCTGAAGCTCTGACTATGGTTTGACTCGAATCTCCTTTTTAACTAAGGGCATTATAAGTAGCAACACTCCTTATTTTGTCAACATCGGCATTGTATTATTAAGGCTCGGCTTTCAACAATACGATTCAGCCTAGGAATTATATAATTTATCAAAGTTCAGGCAAGGTATTCTTTTTAAACCTTGTTTTGGAAATTGACATTATTAATTAACATTATTAATCCATATTCATTAATTATTAATTATTACTTAATATTCAATAATCAGAATTGTAAAAGATTTTCTTCATTACATGGCACAGACAATATGAAGGCTGGCAATCTAATTGAGTCAGTTCATATAAAATTTTGCAAAATGGTTGGAAGAAAGGCTACCAATTCTGCTTGTCTAGCCGAATTAGGTCAACTTCCCATAAATCTAGATGCAAAATTAAGATCAGTTAAGTTTTGGCTATTAACTCTGGTTTTGGTTAAACATAACAAAACTCGAGAACCGCCATAAACGGTCAGCAATTGTATATAGAGAGTCATTAGCAACAAACAACAATAACTGGTCTAGTAAAGTAAAATCTCTAGTCATTATAACATATTCACTATTTAAAGAATCAATTCTGAAAATATTGTGTAAAGGCTTATGAGCACTTTAAAATTGATCGATTGATTGATTGATAAGCTAAGTATATAGAGAGTTATGGTGTTAGGTAGTCTCCCTCGCATCCGTTTTTAGTTTCGGTCGTCACGCAACGACCGACACTAAAAACGGATGCGAGGAAGACTATGTGTTAGGTTGCCCTGTGAAGGCTTAAAGCACTGACAAAGGAGAACACAAGAGCACTTTAAGTGATTTTAGAACGACAATCTTTACAAGCTCAAACTCAAAATGTGCTAACTTTATGGCAAAGGGCATCTACTTCATCTAGTGTTTTAGCAAAAACACACACATCGAACATACAACCTTTCTCGTCCACATCAGCTGCAGACAAAACTATAACTTTTCCTTCGTGAGTATTATTGATGTCGTTTGCCTTTTCTATCACATGCGATGCTGATGTTTTAGAAGCAATGTTCATGACTCGAAAGCTTGAGACAGTGAGATTGAACTGTGCCATATAGGGGGCTAGGAGTAATTGAGATGTCTCCCCACCAACTCTAGGGTTCATGTCTACTAAGTACATTCCATGATCAGTGATCAAGATCTCAATGGTAACCAGACCAAAGTAGCCTTGTTTATGAAGGTATTTTACAACAGGAACAACGAACTCATCGTACACAAGGTTCTTATAATAGTCTTGTTTATTCCAATCGACGACTGAGCCTGTCCAAACAAGTCCATCAAAACATGACGCTGAAGTTAGCCGGACATTCGCAGAGGTCAAGTTAGATATTAATAAGTGCTACCAAAATTCTCCTGATTTATATATTGATTTTAAAATACTCCATTTCGGTGAGGAATCCAACATGCTTTCTTTCTAAAAAAATCTAATAGCATAATTTTTAATGGTTTT